ATACTGCTAGTCTTCTTCAGGCGATGAGCTTAAAAACTTAGCTTCTATTGTTATTCACCACGATGAATAACCACAGCCTTTTTTACGAAAAATGAACTGTACTGATGACATTTCTTCTCGTACAATGAATTATTCATTGGTGTTGTAACCAGTATGATGGCTGAAACAAATTGGTATGACACCAGTCACTTACAAAAGACCTATATGCATTGTAATGAACTTTATAGATGTGGTACCTTTGAGAAGGCTGACAAAATGGCAGTCATATATGTGCCCCAGCCAAATTGGATTTTCATCTTCCACTTTACATTCTGGTCTAACAGGGATTTCCTGTCTTTCTTTTCCAGGTGATGAACTGATTACATTAATAACGGTTTTAAAGTGGTTTGCTGCTGCAAAGAGTATCATTTCATCACCCCAAATACCATCCTTTGCCATATCTGTTAGGTACTCATCCCATCCGCCAAAACGGGTACGTTGGTTTTCGTCCAACATGCTGTACAGATCAGCTCCATCTTTCTGCAAGAAGAATCAATAAATTAGGCATTAAGAGGATTAGAGTAAGCATTGCAAGAACAGAAAATCAAAATTGCATATTATACATGGGTCCTATTGTTTGTTGTGCATGTAATTTGCTTAAAACGTTAAAAAGAAAAGCTTCATTGTAACTGGTCTTTATTAGCTCAAGTTAACTATTAACAATCAATAAAACATTTTTTATTTGATCCATGAATAAGTTTAGTAGAGTATTAAAGAAACAGTTGATGAAATAAACATTACCATCACACCGTATTACATGAGTGATCAGAAATTTGCAGAGCTGAGCACAATTTAAACCATGCAGCTGAATGTGAAATTGGTGTCTTTGAATGCAAAGTCAGGCTGTGTTGAAAAAGTGAAGAAAACTTAGAGAAGGTTCCTCCGCTTAAATACGCAAACCATGGAAAGAAGGCTGCGTGGCCATGGTTTGAGATTAAGCACTTCCTTCCCTGGTGTGACTGAGATCACTTGAGCTTGCAAAAGATGAAAAATACCAAATTCCTGACGGAGAGTCCAGAGGCCAGAAATCATTGCTACTAAAAAGTTAGCAAATCACACAATCAACAACATGGACGAGAAAACTATAGTAATCTGCCCAACAGGAAAGAGAGAATTCACGTCATGGTTGTATATTGTTCAGTACTAGGAAAATTTCAAAGTTTGTATATAAGAGCCTCTTTGCCGGTCATGAATAACTAAGCACCCAAAAAATATCGATGATAATGATAACCAATTCATGTTACCACAATGTCTCCTATTTTCTACACAATTTTCTGAAAAGTAAGTATCTCGGAAAGAAGATTTTAAACAGTTTTTCTCGGCTGGTCTCACGTTTAATCCTTCCCATTAAATATACAAACACGAAACACTGTGAATCCAGGAGAAGGTTAAAAAATGTCATATTTGATTATGTAACTGAGCGAGCAATTGACACAGTTTTTAATAGCACTTATAAATACCAAACAAAACCTACCGTTTCTGGGTTCTCTTTGAGGTATTGAACTAAGGTTTTCCTTAATTCATCATGTGGAATTTTGATTTTTTTAACAGTTTCCAGTTGTTCTGATAAAGCATGGAACAAACAATTTCCCTTTCCATCATTATCGGACACGATTAAGCCCATGTCTAATACAGCTTCAATTAATCCATCTGTTATGTCACGTGTAGGAACTCCCTTGCTCTCGCGTTTACTTTCACGGATTGCATGTTTCACGTTTTCAAGATCCTTGGTGGTTTCTCCAGGACCGCCTAAACAAAACAAACATTTCTGCTGTAAAAGATAATGAAAAACCCCTCAACTAATACTGACAATATTAATGCATATGTGACCTTACATTCTCAAGCCTCCATGAATTGATTATGCCATGCAGATGAACAAGAACTCCTTGCAATATTTTCCTCCTCCATAGTTAAACATGTTTTCTTTTTGACAATTTAGTGATACTATATTCAATAACTTTCAACAACTAACTCTGGAAAGCCGGGTTTCTAACTTAGAATAGACTCCCCTCAGCAGGTGTCAAGCACCGCTGGCACCGTACAAATGAATCATTGACAACATCAACATTACCAACAAACCAAACAGAACGGCCTAACTTTACTAACGGATCAAGACTGACCAATCAAGACCGACCTATGCCACTTGAGTCTTATACAGCCAATAACATTACGGCAAAACTGACCAACCAGTCTATACAAACCGGGCTTAGAACACTCAACTGACAACAACTATTCACTTGACTCTGATGACGACTTCCCCTCAGGTTGCCGAAACGTCAGTCACCACTACCGACAAAAGTCCTTCTCAGGACTACACTCACCCAGACGATCAAACCACACCATTACATGTTACCCCCGGGTTCAAACCATTTACTGTTTTATTTCCAAAGGGAACAACAATGTTGTTAGCATGCTCTATACTCTCATAAAGCACACCACAAAAAGCCAATCAGAATCCTTGTAAGAATGGCTCAAATACTCTGATTGGTTGAACAAGACTTAAGC